TGAGACTGTCTCAAAAAAAGAAAAAAAAAAAAGAAAAGAAGAAAGAAATTTGCTATATTAAAAACCTAGTTGAAACTAAAATTTCATATTTACAATTTATGGGCCACTTAAAGAGAAAGTGGTTTGTATGTACAGTCCAACTCTGGACATTGTGGGCTATTCTTTTTTTATTATCTCTATATTTTTAATATGTGTATGTATTTTTTAGTAATTTTTAGGAATGTGACTTGTTACTGAGCACTAATGCTTATTTTGACATCATTTTTGGCATTTTTCATTTTTGCCACTTTAAATGCATCAGAGTTTAAACTCCTTTCTTAGCTCATCGTTAAAGTATTCTGCTTCTTAGGAAGAAATGAAACTAGGACACTACTGTCTTTTTCTAGATACATACTAATGGATGTGGAAGCTAAGTGCTGTACTCTTGAGATCTGGGTGGCACCGTCCATGTGTGTAGGAGATAGGGTGGGTTCAAGAGAAGTGTGGGCTTTTATGTAACTGGTCTCCAAAAGTCCCAAAATGTTTTTATATGTTGCCTGCTGACTGCTCTGGCTGTCACATAGATCTGGAGAGGAGAAATTTCTTCAAACTCTAGTTTTGTCTAAAAGGAGCTTTGTTTGTCCCAGAAGAATTTAGGTATCATTCTACTTACCAACCTGGTGTGCATGTGTATCTCTTTAAAAATAATTATTTTACATTAGTTTTACCTTTCTTTTGCAGACTAAATAGGAATAAACGTTATTATTTTTTGAGATGGAGTTTTGCGCTTGTCGCCCAGGCTGGAGTGCAGTGGGGCGATCTCAACTCACTGCAATCTGTGCCTCCCAGGTTCAAGATCAAGCCACTGCACTCCAGCTTGGGTGACAGAGTGAGACTTTATCAAAAAAATATAAAAGGCATACTCTGTTCCTAGGTGTTTCATAAGTTTATTGGTGTTTTATGGTTTGAGATGCTAGATTTCTGGTGGTGTTGAAGCCACAACAAAACAAACTGTATGCATATACAAATGTTTTAATTTTTACTTAGAAGCAAATTTGAGTCATTAGAAAAGTATGTAACACTTTAAATATTCATTACATAAATCATCTTGTTAGGGATAAGTACCTTAAATTAGTATATTTCGAATATAAAACTGGAAGTATGATTTTCCCACCATTATATTATAGTAATTGGCATTAAGTGTTGCATATTTAAATGATTAATTGCAAATGATGTCATACATTAATCTAACTTTGTTAATTATCAGGCAAAAACATGGTGAATAAAGAAGTGCCCCTCTTTTTGTATTACAGAGGAAGTTAGCATGTTTGTGAATGTCCATGATATTAAACTGGTAGAAAAGATTAGAGGGAGGGAGCGAGTGAGCGACAATCAATTACCAGTCTCTGCTTCAACTAATTTTTAATTTTTATCATACTTATGAACCCCTGCAAACTAAAGATTTATCTAAATTGTCTTTTTTCTTTGTTGGCTTTATGAGGTGAAATTCATATAATACAAATTAGCAATTACAGAGTGTGTATTTCAGTGGCATTTAACACATTCACAGTGTTGCGCAACTACCACCTGTTATCAGGTTTCAAAACATTTTTCTAATTCCAAAAGGAAACCCCTAGGAGAGCAGTCACTCTCCTTTCCCTTCTCTTATCCCCCATAAACCACAGTTCTGCTTTCTGTCTCTATGGATTGTCCATAGAGGCTGTCCCACCTTTTGGCTTTTGTGAATAGTGCTGCCATCAGTATTTGTGTACAAGTATCTGTGTTTGAATACCTGTTTTTAATTCTTTTTTTTTGTTTTGTATTTTTGAAATGGAGTCTTCCTGTTACCCAGGCTGGAAAGCAGTGGTGTGATCTTGGCTTACTGCAACCCCCTGCCTCCTGAGTCCAGGCAATTTTTCTGCCTGAGCCTCCCGAGTAGCTGGGATTACAGGTGCTCACCACCACACCCTGCTAATTTTTGTATTTTTAGTAGAGACAGCGTTTCATCATGATGGTCAGACTGGTCATGAACTCCTGACCTTGTGATCCTCCTGCCTCGGCCTCCCAAAGTGCTGGGGTTACAGGTGTGAACCACTGTGCCTGGCCTGTTTTTGATTCTTTTAGGTATATACCTAAGAGTGGAATCGCTGGGTCAGTGGCAATTCTATGTTCAAGTTCTTTAGGAACTGACAAATGTTTTCTACTGACTTCACCATTTTATAGTTCTACCAGCAATATACGAGGATTCGTCTGTCTCTTAGCTGTCACTTGCCATTTTCCCTTTTTAAAAAATAGCCATCCTAGTAGGTATGAAGTGGTATCTCATTGTGGTTTGATTTGCATTTCCATGATTGCCAAAGAGGATGGTCATCTTTTCATGTGCTTATTGGTCATTTATTTCTTCCTAGGAGAAATGTCTACTTAAGTCCTATGCCCATTTTAAAATTTGGTTGTCTTTTTTGTTGTTGAGTTGTAAGAGTTCTGTATATATTCTGGGCATTAATCCCTTATCAGATACGTGATTTGCAAGTATTTCCTCCCATTCTGTAGGTTGTCTTAACTTTCTTTCTTTCTTTTTTTTTTTTGAGATGGAGTCTTACTGTGTTGCCCAGGCTGGAGTGTAGTAGCAGGATCTCGGCTCACTGTAATTTCCATCTTCCAGGTTCAAGCAATTCTCCTGTCTCAGCCTTCTGAGTACGTGGGGCTACAGGCGCATGCTGCTACACCTGGTTAATTTTGGTATTTTTAGTAGAAATGGGGTTTTGCCATATTGGTCAGGCTGGTCTTGACATCCTGACCTCAGGTGATCCACCTGCCTCTGCCTCCCAAAGTGCTGAGATTACAGCCACCTATCACCACGCCTTCTAATTTTTTGTATTTTTAGTAGAGATGGGGTTTTGCCATGTTGGCCAGGCTGGTCTAGAGCTCCTGACCTCAAGTAATCCACCCACCTCGGCCTCCCAAAGTGCTAGGATTACAGGGGTGAGCCACTGCACTGGGCCCACAGATAAGATAAGAGCCACTGCACTCTTATCTTTTTCTGTAAGGTAATTATTAAATTGGCTTTTAAATAGAGCTTTTAATTTTTTTGTTGTTGTTAGGTTATTTCTTGATTTGGTATGTTTTTTTTTTTTTTTTTTNAAAAAAAAAAAAAAATTACCCAGTCTTGAGTGGTATCTTTATAGCAGTGTGAAATACTTCAAGATCTGTGTGTGTGTGTGTGTGTGTGTGTGTGTGGAATAGATAAGCATTTCATATAATGCTAAGATCTGGAAAAATGTGATTCCATAGGCAAATTATTGCCTTATGAAAAAAACTGAAACATACCTAATGTGTAAAGTTTGCCAATAATAGAAGTAAATTATTAGATGTCGTTTGGGAAAATACATTTCTTTTTTTTTTTTTGGGACGGAGTTTCGCTCTTGTTACCCAGGCTGGAGTGCAATGGCGCGATCTCGGCTCACCGCAACCTCCGCCTCCTGGGTTCAGGCAATTCTCCTGCCTCAGCCTCCTGAGTAGCTGGGATGACAGGTATGTGCCACCATGCCCAGCTGATTTTTTGTATTTTTAGTAGAGATGGGGTTTCACCATGTTGACCAGTATGGTCTCGATCTCTTGACTTCGTGATCCACCCACCTCGGCCTCCCAAAGTGCTGGGATTACAGGCTTGAGCCACCGCGCCTGGCCAATTTGGTATGTTTTTGACACAGTCAGCTTTGTTTCACTTGCTTCAGAAGGTGGGGGAATTGAAAACAAATCAGAAATACAACATCTAAAAGTTGCTTTGTACTGGATTCTCTGTATATCAATTCAGAGAAAGATTCATCAGACCCCCAGACCATCGTTCTGCTATGTCAGTTATAGAAACATTTGAGAGAAAGATTATTATCAAAAAAAGGTATTTCACATATAATTTTGTGTAGTCTGTTCCTAGTCTGGACCTTTCTGAATCTTGTGGTATAGGACACTTGATATAATTTATATTATGGAATCGTCCACTTGCTTGGTGTTAGTTGTAGTTGTATTTCTTTAAATTAGGTTTTTTTGCCTGTAGTTTCAGCTACTTGCGAGGCTGAGGTGGAAGATTTGTTTGAGCGTAGGAGTTCTAGTTCAGCCTGGGCAACATAGCAAGACCCTGTCTCTAAAAAAAATAATAAAAAATGTTTAGACTGGGCATGGAGGTTTATAGCTATTATCCCAGCACTTTGGGAGGCCACAGTTGGAGGATCTCTTGAGGCCAGGAGTACAAGGCCAGCCTAGGATACAGAAAATTAAAAACAAATTATCTGGGCATGATGATGCAAGCCGGTAGTCCTAGCTAGTTGGGAGGCTGAGTTGGGAGGATCACTTGAGCCCAGGATGTCGAGACTGCAGTG